GGGAGCCCGCGACCGGCTGGGGCGTGAGGTCGGTGGGTTGGGGCTGGCGGGCGCGGCGCGCCTGGGGAGGCGAAGCGAGGCGGGCGGTGAAGAGCCCCGGTACTTCTTTATCTTTTTAGATTGCTAGAAAAAAAAAAAAAGAAAAAAAAGCACAGGAGGACACATCTCGTGAGTTGAGTTCTTAGACTGCTCTATTCTTAGATCCGCTGCCCTGTTGCAGTCTGTATTACCCACGTTCTTCAGTCTGTGTAACAAACAGAAGCATTAGAAAAATAGTCCCGGGAGGGGCTGGGGAGAAAGCGGCCTAAGCTCCTGCCTGCCGAGCACTGGTCCTGAGTTCAATCCCCCCCACCCCCCCGCAAAAAAAAAAGCTGAAAAATGGTTCCGGGGAAAACTGCACAACCAATCTTGTAGGAAGTGTTTAAAGCGTGAACTCTTACTCTATAGATGCATAGGGAGGATAGTAAAGCACTTTTTAAAAATTACTGCGTTTTGGACTGGTGAGATGGCTCAGTGGTCTAAAGCACCTACTTACAACAAGCTTAGCAAAGCACAGGGACCATGGTTCGATCCCCCAGCTCCACAAGCCAGCCAGCCCCGCCCCCTGGTGGGCTGAGCTGGCCACACACACATGCACACACACACACACACACACACAAATAAATAAAAATTTAAAAAAATTAAAAAAAAATTACTGCGTTTTAAAAATAATTACATGCAATATTGCATTTTTCTCCTTTGTAGATGAATCAGAACTCCTCACTGTTCCTGATGGTTGGAAGGAACCAGCTTTTTCTAAAGAGGACAATCCCAGAGGACTCTTGGAGGAAAGCAGTTTTGCAACTTTGTTCCCAAAATATAGAGAGGCCTACTTGAAAGAGTGTTGGCCCTTAGTGCAGAAGGCCTTGAATGAACACGTATGCATATTTTATACATTTAAGATTTTACTTTTTAAAAGAGTCCCTTTAAGTGTATGTGTGCTGACCTTTTTTTTTTTTTTTTTTTTTTTTTTTGTTATACCTATTATTTAAGGTACCAGTATAGCTGATTTGGTTCCTTTAATAATTGAAACAGTCTAGACCAGTGATGGTGAGCCTTCTAGAGCTTTCTGTGATATCAAACAGCTGGCTGTGGGCCGGGGAAATGGCTCAGTAGACTAAGCACTTGCCTGGCAAGCACAAGGGGCTGAGTTCAAAACCCTGGTTCCACCAAAAAAACAAAAACAAAACAAAAAAACAGCTGGCTGTGGCATCCATGCCATAGGTTCACCACCACTCGTCTAGATGGATTTTATTCTTATGTAGTTTATTAGTCTTTTATGTGTAATTACTTTGAAATGCATATACCTTTACTGTTTTAGAAATTTCATGAATATGTCTAAAACTCACCTGTTGAAGTCCACCATACCTGCTCTAGACATGTTACCGTTTCACCTCTCTACCTTGAGCTCAGCTTTATTCCAGTTATTTCCTTTCCTTTTAAATGGAAGAAGATTATGTGACCAACTTTTCCCAGTGTGCTTTTGCTGCTATAATTGTAACATGGTAGATTGTTTTGATTTTTCAGATTGAGGATTGAAAAGACATTAGTGGGTTGAGAAGTCAATTTGATGGCTTTTTAAAAAAAGAAAGGTAGGGACAGGTATCATTTTGTGAAGCCTGTGGATCAGTTTTGCATGTATATATACTTGTGTATAGGGGGGTGTGTGTGTGTGAGGTGGTGATACATGCTTCTCACTCGGACTGCCTGGGAGTGAGCTGTACTCACTGGGAGGTGGGAGATAAAGGTGGCTCGGCAAGTTGCAGGTTGTGTTTTATAGCTGGCTACATCTGGGGTAGAGCTCATTTTTGTGTGTGTGGACATTCACAGAGACCCAGGTATTCATGTTAACCTCACAAGTCATAAAACAGCGTTTTCATTGGCTTTGTTGAAATCTAATTCTTCCAGTTGAGACATATGGCTTAATTTTCCAAATTGATTCTTTCTGAACCTGTTATAATTTGTTTTTGCCTTCAGTCCCCTAAGCAGCTAGAAAAAGTTTAAAAGGATAAAGGCATTTCTCTTGGGAACAGATTTCAGATTGGACTTGCACCCAGACTAGGGAGATATACTGCTTTACATTTTTACTTTTTGTAGGTATTAAGTGTGACTTCATCCTGGTTGAAGTAATGTTTTTTAAACTAGAGATAATCTTTATTCCAATAGTTTAAACTATTTTGAAGCTAAATATGAAGTTTTAATTGTTTTACTTTCATATCTTCTGTAAAATACATAAAAATAATTAAGTATTATTTATATTGGCACAGCTTCTTTAGAGTGGGAGTTGGTAGACCTTATAAGATCACTTAATAGCATAAAAATAATAGTTTGGTTGGGATAAGCTCAGTAATGATCTAAAGTGGAATTCATTTGTAGACAACTGCTGTTTGGTCCTTCTTGTAGCACATCAAGGCCACCCTGGACTTGATTGAGGGCAGCATGACTGTCTGTACTACAAAGAAGACCTTTGATCCCTACATCATCATCAGGGCCAGAGACCTGATAAAACTGTTAGCAAGAAGTGTTTCATTTGAGCAGGTAAATGTAGAATTACATAGACTTTGCTTTACTTGCATCAACATTACCTATTATAGTGGATTTTTTTCTCACTCTCTTTCCTTGTTTTCTACAGTTGGGTTTTTAGGTTTTATGCTGATGTCTTATTACCTAGGACTTAGGAAATAAGCTGATTAAAAATAATGTTGACATATGTATTTTTTTTTCAAAAGGCAGTACGGATTCTTCAGGATGATATTGCATGTGACATCATCAAAATAGGTTCTTTAGTAAGAAATAAAGAAAGATTTGTGAAAAGAAGACAGCGACTTATTGGTCCCAAAGGATCTACTTTGAAGGTACTTCTTATTAGTGACAGACTTGAATAGCTTCTCTGCGTGAATTGTCGGTGTATTGAATTTCACCTTACTGCTCTTTTGATACAGGCTTTGGAACTCTTAACGAACTGTTATGTTATGGTTCAGGGAAATACAGTCTCAGCCATTGGACCTTTTAGTGGTTTAAAAGAGGTAAGAACTATTACTTTCAGTTAATTTTTACAAGAGAATAAATAATTTGGTTATAATAAATAATTCTCAAATAATATAGTGTGGTATAATTATATTTTTAGAATATACTTTGTTTGATTTCCCATTAGTCAATATTTTCTGTCATCTAATTGAGAGATTAGGTACACTTGGACCTGCCATTTTTTGGTAAGTGTGGCAACATCTGGTTTTTAATTAGTTTTGCAAACATGGCTCGTTCAACTACCAAATTTAACTGTTATTTAAGACCTTAGTCTGCAGCACACAAGAAAAGTATGGTGTAGTTACATGTGATTGGAAAATTGAGCCGAGATCTTATTGCAATAATGTATATAGCCAGTAGAGGTCAGAGTCTGAAAACTAAGATAAATTTTGTTTCAGTTTTAGTATGTTTAATATTTTCATGAAGACTTTATTTAACTTGTCAAACTTCATTAGAAAATCTGTGAGGCAAATGCTGTTTTGTTTTTTTGCCCTCCCCTTCCCTTTCTCAAATGCTGTTTCTTTTAGCTCTTTCATTGTTTGGATGTGGCTGTGCTGCTTTTCTCCCTTCAAAAGTCTTTCTGTGTAATTCTTCTGGCCACCTTTCTCATAAATAGTCTGCCTTTTTGTCATGGGGGAGTAGCGATTTAACTGCATTAAATACGCTGTATTTTTATAGTTTTTGAAATACCTCATCTAATTCTTATAACAAGTTCTTGAGGTATATGGTTTTCTTTCCATATTGCACATGAGAAAGCTATAGCAGGAAAATGTCTCTTCAGGGAGAAGTGGCTGTCCCAGGCCCTGAGCCTTCATTTTCTAACTCTAGGTTTTGTTTTGTTTTGAGACAGCGTCTCACTGTATAGTCTAGGCTGGCCTTGAGCTCATGGCCATCCTCCTGCCTCAGCCTTCTAAGTGTGGAGATTACAGGCTTGTGCCACCATTCCTAGCCATTTTCTGCCTCTGAGTCCAGTCTTTCTTTCCGCTGTATCATACGGCTCCTGGATGTCGTATTTATATTATATTTTAATATTAATAGAGAAACTATTATATCCAGTGGAGGTTGATTATTACTGTAAAAGGTGTAGAGGCCACTCAAAAATTGAAGGAATTATTGTATTTAATTTGGTGGTTATTCACTGATTTCTGGGGTATTTTTGTAATATGGTAGTTTTCTGTCTAGTTCATCAAATTCTGTAATAAGTAATGAATTCATTTTTCTTTGCAAATTTCAGGTTCGAAAAGTAGTTTTAGATACCATGAAGAATATACATCCAATTTATAATATTAAAGTGAGTATTATATTCCAGTGATTGTCAGACTTTTAGCTTTGAAAAAATTAAATCTTTTATGAAAGACCTAATACATAGAAAAGGTAAAGTAGAGATATTTGGGGTCAGTTTGAGGTAAGCTTCAACCACTTACCCCTGTGCTTTAGTCCTTTTTTGGGTCTTAGGTCTCTAGTGTGAAAAACTGTTAAAGCGGATCTTTATAGTATATTTAATAGTTCTAATATAGTACAATGGCAAGCTTCATAGAACTTACTGCACATTTTTAATGGTGGACGTTGAACAGTCCACTTAAATTTGAAGAAGTTAAAAAGTCACTTAGACTAAAATTGATTTTAAGTTAATTAGAGTATCACAGATGAAGAGAGCTGTTGTGTCTCTGATGCCTTGTTGACATCCTCTTACGTTTTGTTGTGTACAAAATTCAGATGAATCTTGTACAGCAATTAACCACTAGGAAGAATGTATGCAATGTGTTAATTATTGAAACTGTCCTACCAATTTGGTTTGAAGCTGTCTTATTGCTATTTGTTTCTCAATAAAACTATGGGGAAAAAAAATTCAGGTGAAGTGGGGCAGTATAGTACTAATTGTTTAATCATAGACCATGACACCTTGGTTTCTACTGAAAACTTTCTGCTTATGAGGAATATCCGCTAATGACCGTTTTGGCTCTAAGTTAATTATAAAGAATTTAATGAAATAATAGTTGAAAAGCTACATTTGGTTCCATCTCATTTTAGAATTTTGGATTTTTTTTTTTTTTTTTTTTTTTTTTTTTTTTTTTTGGTATTTTGGGGAAGGTGTTCAGGGTTTCACTACTAGATTGGACTTGTAGTGATCCCCTTGTTTACAGCCTCTCAAGAGCTGGGATTATAGGTGCGCGCCACTACGCTCAGTCTCACTTGTTATCTCAGTGTGCCCCAGGAGCGGGGCTGGCACGGCAAGCCCAGGGATCGAACCCCTGGCCCCTGCACCTGCTTGCAGGTGCTTCAGTCTGCTGAGCATTTTGGCTAGCCCTAAAATTTTGGATTTCTTAATCAAAATTTCCAGTAGTTTTTTGATGCTTAGCACATTGTGGATGTTTGAGATGTATATTGGTAGAGTTGATTAATTCCAGTAAAGAGACTAGGAACTGTCCCTTTTAAAATTATTTAAGGGGGCCGGGGAGATGGCTCAGTGGAATAAGCGCTTCCCTGGCAAGCGCAAGGACCTGAGTTCAATCCCTGGTTCCCCCCCCCCAAGAAAAATAAAATTATTTAAGGAAGCAATAGTTATATCTTAGTTTAACAAATTATAAATTTTGAAATTAAAAAGTACTTTATTTATATGTGTATGACTAAAGACCTTAATGATAAAACGAGAATTGGCGAAAGATTCTGAATTACGATCACAAAGTTGGGAAAGATTTTTGCCACAGTTCAAACATAAAAACGTGAACAAACGCAAAGAACCAAAGAAGAAAACTGCTAAGAAAGAGTACACACCGTTCCCACCGCCACAGCCAGAAAGCCAGGTTAGTATTCAGTGTTAAGCTTTACGTGAAAAGGTAACATTTTAATCTGGTTTTGACCCGAATATTATTGAGTTTATTTTAAGTAGCATGTATATATGTATGTAGATAAAAGGAAGGTAGGGGCCGGGGAGATAGCTCAATAGAATAAATGCTTGCCTGGCAAGCGCAAGGGCCTGAGTTCAATCTCCGGTTCAAATAAATAAATAAATAAATGAATGAATGAATGAATGAATGAATGAATGAATGGAAGGTAAGTATAAATAGGCTTATGATGCTGACTGCATGGGGATAGCAGGTGGGGCATTCACATTGTGAATGTAAACTACATTAAGGTAGTTGGTGTCAGCCTGTCCCTGCAGCTACTGTACATATTTTGTAGGCAAAAAAGTTCAGTGATTTAGCTCACAAAATTGCCTGCTTTGCTGTAGTGACTTTTTTGATCATGTACTGTATGATTTTAGAAATCATAACTTCTGTGTATTATTTATTTATTTAATGTATTTGGTACAAGGTTTCACCAAGCAGCTGGGACCTGTAGTGATCCCGTCTCAGCCTCCCTAGTGCTGGTATTAGCGGTGTGCGCCATCATGCCAGAACTCTGACTGGCTCAGCACGCCCAGGGGCAGGGCCGGCACAGCATGTGGGGCTGGGGATCAAACCCCAGTCCCTGCGTTTGCTTAAGCAGGCGCTTAGTCCGCTGAGCTATCTCACTGGCCCAGAAATCATAAACCCTCATCCTTGGTTCCTGCTATGACCTCATACTATTTTGTTACCTATCTTCATTCCTTTCCAACCAAAGAGAATATCTTTTCTTGCCTTTCTGTTTTGTGCTTTGGTTTTTTTCTGATCAAGTCACTTTATCATTCTATCACACTTTTCTGGCAAAACTCTAAAACTTTATCGGTCTGGAAACTTGGCCTCTGACTTCTATACTAAGCTGGAAAAGGTCTCATGTTTGGCTGAAATGCACTAAGAATTCGTGTTTCCAGCCTCAGACAGGTTTTTTCAGTATTATCTAGCAGCTCTTTATGAGTTTTTAATTTTCTCAGCACCTGTCCACTTGTAACAGAGGACGTTGCATTTTACTTTCCTATGATAGTGAGACCTTCAGAAAAGAACCCCTTCCATTTCTGTGACCTGTAACTTTTTCAATCTGTGATCTGCCTCTCCTCCCTTTTTGAATTCTGCGCACACCAGCCTGAGGCCTTGCTTCTTCATTTCTCCCTTTGCCTTTTTCAGTTTCTGCTGTTTTCCTGTTCAAGATGTAAACCCTTGCTGTGATTGTCATGTTTTCTGTGTAGACATGTTTGGAGTTTTTCAGGGAAGGTTTGATGAAAGGGTGATGATCATGGTGAAAAATAATAGAAATAGGAGATCCTGGACTGTACCCTGGAAGAGGAAGAAAGGCTAAAGGGAAAGGGTAGTTGGAGGAGATTATGTAGTGATCCCATTATTAAGCCACACATGTGCACCGCCTGCTGCGCTTCTTTCAGCTCTGTCCTGTAGTTATGGTTTGTCTTTCTTCCCTATCCTTTAGCTGCTTTTTAATTCATTATAAGGATAATGAATATGTACTGCTAAAAATTAATTGTGCCTATCAATGGGGTTAATGTGTCTGTGCATGGATATTATTATGCACATTGACAAAATCCAGCCTCCCTCTGTCCACCACACAACCCCCCAATGTACCCCAGTAATACATAAATACCTTGGTTCATGAACTTAATTCTTCACATCAGAACCATTCTTGTTCAGCTCGGTTTGCAAACAGAATCTTGGCAAGAATCAAGTTTGTGAGCTGAGGTACTCCTGACTATTTTACTTGCAGGTTCATTTGCCCTTCTGTCTGTGATAGCAGAGGCAAGGCACTTAGTTCACTGTGTCTGCGTTATGTTGCTTAACATGGTGTTCTCCAGTCCCATCCGTTTCACTGCCAGGGACAGGATTTCAAATCTTCATGGCTGAATAGTATTCAGTTGCAGATTAGGAAGACCACATTTTCTTTATTCATTCATCTGTTGAAGACATCTAGCCTGCTTTCATGTCTTAGTCTGAATAGTGCTACTACAAATACACACATGTAGATAGCTCTTTTGTATGTTGAATTTTTTTTTTTTTTTTGGTATAAATAGAAGTAGAATAGATGAATCATACAGTCTATCTAGAATTTTTCCAGGAATTCCATACTGTTTTCAGTAGTGGCTGTTCTAATTAACATTGTCACCAACAGTGTATAAGAATTTATTTTACTCCACATCTTTATTACCATTTATATTTTATTAACAGCCATTTTTATTATCTTGAGATTGTATCTCATTTTATTTTTTTTGGGTTTTTTTTTAGTTTTGATTTTTATTTCCCTGATGGCTAACAGTGAACTTTTAAAATATATTCATTAGTCATTTATCTTATTTTGAGAAGTATCTATTCAGATCCTTGCCTCTTTTTGGCTGGGGAGATAGCTCAGTAGAATAAGCACAAGGTCCTGAGTTCAATCCCTGGTACTGCAAAAAAAACCCCAAAAACCAAAAAAGCAGATCCTTTACTATTTTAAATTAGATTATATGGCTTTTGTTATATGTTCTGACTTCCCTGTTTTTCTGGATATTAACCTTTATCAGATGAAGTGTTGTAAATATTTTCTCCCATGCTATAGTTCATCTCTGTTGTTTGCTGTGTAGATTTTTTTTAGGTATGTTCCTGTTTGTCAGGTTTGCTTTTGTTAAGTCTTCATTTGAGGTTCTATTTTGAAAATTATCTTCTGTACCAGTGTCTGTAAGTATTGTCTTTATGCTTTATTCTGGCAGTTTCAAATTTAGGTTTTAAGATTTAGGGTATCTGGTTAATCTCGTGTTGATTTTTGTGCAGTGTGAGTGAATTGTAATGATCAAGCTTCAGTGTTCCGTACCATTTGTTGAAGAGGGCTTTGTGTCTGCATGTGTATTTTGGAAGTCTTTGTCAAGAATCAGTCAGCACAGGTTTCTATCTGTGATCTATGCCAGGTGTCTGTGTGTCTGTAGTTAGCCCATACTGTGTTGTTTTGATTGTTACTGCTTTGTAGTATGTTCTGAAATCAGACTTTGTGATGCTTCTGGTTCTTGCTCAAAGTTTTCTTCAAGTTTCCCCAAGTTATTGTTCTAGTCTCCTTACACTTTTGTGAGACACTGACCTCCCATCCTACCTGATCTAGTCTGTCTTATTTTCTGTGAACACTTCTTCATTTTTGCTACCTCCGTGTTTGTAGTTTCTTCTGCTTGGCGTAGTTTCTTCAGTGTTGCCATTCTCGATAGAAGTTTGACTCCACTGCATTTACCCTAAGGACATTGTGGCTTTCTTAGGAAATTCCTGTCTACATTGTTTCTGATGTAATTGTAAATACTATTTTCAATAGATTGACAAAGAATTGGCCAGTGGAGAATACTTTTTGAAGGCAAATCAGAAGAAGCGGCAGAAAATGGAAGCCATAAAGGTATGACTTTGTCTTCTTCACAACATTAATAGCAAGACTCATAGATAGTTATTTGTAAACTCTGTCTTACTAATGTGTTTCTTAATGTAGGCTAAACAAGCAGAAGCGCTCAGTAAGAGACAAGAAGAAAGAAATAAAGCATTTATTCCACCTAAAGAAAAGCCAGTTAAAAAACCGAAAGAAGGTAAAGCTCATTTTTTTACCTCTTGAATTATTTATTATCTATAAAAAGTAAAACCATAATTTGTGTGAACCTCTTGGGTAAATAACAAGTAACTGTGTTTCATCAGTTACTTTAGGATTTCGTTGTAGTTGCAGCTGGAGCTTATTGCAGGGAGTCTCAGCATGGCCTTCTTTCTCAACCTGTGATCTGTGCTTGAGAAGATGCTCTGTTGCCAGAGATACAAACCCAGAGCCATCTCTTGTTTTTATCTTTTTTCTGTTTATTTGGTGTGTGGCTTAAGATCTGTTTCTGGGTTAACGGTGATTTCTCATTACTTTGTATTAAAGAACAAAATGCTTGGTAGGGGGTATATCAAGAAGACACAAGGGTGGCCAGCAAGATAGCTCAGCGGACTAAGCGCTTGCCTTGGCAAGTGCAGGGACCGGGATTCAATCCCCAGTCCCGCATCCCATGTCAACCTCGCCCCTGGGGTGTGCTGTGCTGGAGACTGAGTCCAGGCGTGGTGGCACCTACCCCAGTGCTGGGGAGGCTGAAAACAGGAAGATCAGTATGAGTCCGAGCTACCAAATACATAAAGTGAGAAGGAAAAAAAAGACACTAAGAAAAATCAGGCTTTTTCTTCTCCATTGCTAGCCTCATTATTTATCCTCTCTTCGTTTACATTCTCTTTCCTTCTATTAAAACTTGTGTTCTTTGTATTCACACTTGAAGTCTTCCTTAGTAACTGTCCATAACCAAGAGGAGAGTTACTGAGTGGGAGAGAGGTCACTACCAAAATTGTATAGGCTGGGTGTGGTCATACGTGCCTGTAATACCACATTCGGAAGCCTGAGGCAAGAGAACTGCCACAAGTTACAGGCCAGCCTGGGCTACAAAGTGAGCTCAAGGCCAGCCTGAAGTACATAGTGAAATCCTGTCTCAGAAAGATAAAAGTAATAATTTGTGTATAAACTACTTACTAAGGGGCCAGGGAAATAGCTCAGTAGAATAAGTGCTTCCCTGGCAAGCGCAGGGTCCTGAGTTCAATCCCTGGTTCTGCCATAAAAAA